TGTTGATCGTACAATATTGTACACAGTTCAACAGACGTCACCGATTTTGGCAAGTATTCCTACCACTTACAGCATGTGCTTGGAACTTCGATGGCGGTACATATCTGCCAGTGAAGGTAACTACACGCCCTATCGTGTCTTTTCAAGTATTCAGTCTTTGCTAAAATTGGACAATCTGAGACGATATGATCAATGGTTTCCACTTGTTCCGGGCAAATGCGGAATTTATCATCTTGGGAAATTTTGAGAGCCGCTTTATCATAATGTGTTCTCAACACCTGATCTTCGGCAGGTATTAAAACTGCTTCCGATTCTGGCTTCATTTCCCCCCTTTTAAGTCACATTTGCTTTACGCAGATGATCTTTAAGTGTTTTCTAAGAATGAAACAATTCTCTCCCAAATGCTGTCATCAGTGATTCTAGCAATGCCATTTGCATGACGTTTGGTCTTGACAGTGTGCAAAAATCAACTTAAAGAGAGACAAAATGACGTCAGAGTACACTGAAGTTGATATGCACTCTGTGATACAAAATTTTGACCCAGGTAAAACTTACAAATATCTGGGCATTGAAGAATGTGAGACGATCTTGAACGACCCAATGAAAGACACAATTCGCAGGGAGTATTATAGAAGAGTGAGACTTGTCCTACAGTCCTCTCTGAACTCCAGGAATAAATAGGTAATTTGACTGTGCCTGTAGCCGAATAGTGTCGGACTTGTGAGCTGGACTAAGCAAGAAATTTGAATCATGGATCGAAAAAACAGAAAACTGCTTTCAATGCATCATGGCGCCTACATCTGAACTGATGTACATACGCAACTCTATGTGTCACGTAAGACTGGAGGAAGACTCCTCAGACAAATTGAAGCCTCTTGTCACAATGCAATGCAGTGGACGGGAAAGTATGTAGTCATCCAAGATGACCCACTAATTAGTCAAGTCATGAGATTTCACCGAAGAATGAGAAACAGAGGCAATGTAAGTGTAATCAAATTCATTGCGAACAAGACAATGCAAGATACTCAAAATAAAGAGACACTGAACTTCTGATGCAACTTAACATGAAATATGAGACAAAAAATGTTAAAGAAATCGTGGAGAGACAAACCACTCCATGGACAATATCTAAAAAGAATGGCCAAGGGTCAGATCTATAAACTTCAATTAAATATGATATTGGTCTTTCATCACCCTAGAGCTTCTAATTTGCTTCATCTAATAACTTCTGCTTCTAATAAGCTTCATCTTGTAACAAATGTCTAGATGGTGGGATCAAACGAATGCAAAAGCAAAAGTGAGAGTGAATCACCTTGAAAAATTACACTGTAAATCTGAATACTTATTTTTACTACTACTTCCTTTCCACTGTGTATTAGTTACCTGGAAATCTACTTCATACAAACCTTGCAAAAATCCATAAGTCTAGGGTGAAAACGTTAGTTCCCCAGGGTCTTCAAAATCCAATCGTGCGTGCACTCTCAAAAGCCTTCTGGTAGTCAATAGAAGCCATGCTTACTAAATTATGCTTTCTTTTCCTGACATCAATCAAGATGACATTATTTAGTAGTAAGATTTCCTTACAGCCATACGAACCCTTACGACATCCTTTCTGTTCATCTAGCAACAGATGTTTTTTTTCGAGGTGTCTGTACATTTTTTTAGCTGTGACTGCAGTCATAAATTTGTACATTACTAGCAGACAAGTGATTGGCCTAGTTCTCCGCCAAGAAACTGTCTCCCCCTTCTGGTATCAGATATGTAAAGCCGCGTGTCTGTCCGGAAGTTTCTTTAAAATTTCAAACAATTTAACTAATAGTCTTTGCTAGATGAAAATGTAATGCTGTTAATCTCCTAATATGATAATTCATGATTTTATCAAACCCGGGGGATTTCCAGTTTCCCATGTTCTTAATTGGTGGGAATAGGTCCTCTTCCGAGAATTTGTGATGTTTCACTGTATCCACAAGTTCATCAGCACTTAAGATTGGAGCCAAGATGTGACTTTGTTGTAGGATCTGCTTTCTTCCCATATACTGCCCAAATGTTTTGATGTCATTTTTTTTAGGAGGAACAGCATTGCCATTCGGCTTATGAGTCACATTGCAATAAAATATCTTTGCTTCTGTTTCAAAGAACCAATTCCGTTAATATAAATCTACCTTACGTTTGTAACGTCTAATGCTTTGAGCCCAGGATTGGACCTTCTGTTTTAGCTTTTGATCTACCATTAGCCTGGTCTGATTTTGAATTGGGTATATTTGTTCAACATGTAGTATTCGTCGTTGAACTTTAGATATGTGCGTTGATTTAGATGTCTCGAATACGAATTATATTTCACGCCGAGTGTCGGCTATCCGCTTCATAATTCTTTTCACTCATCGGTCTGTCTCTCGCTCTCTTAGTTTCAGAATTTTCGTATATTCTCCTAAACGGTGCACGAGATTTGAATGAAAGTAGACGAACTCATTCTATCTCTCGTTGAAGGAAGTCCCGCATCAAGTCTTTATCGTATGATTGATATCTACATAAATTTTCACCACTGACGGATGTTTCACAGGGAAGAGATGAGTCTTCGACATATCCACCGTTTTCAGGTATATTAGATGGTTATAAATGTTCAGCATGTGCATGTAGATAGATCGATCGAAGAACATACTAAGCATTTCTCTGAATGTCTGTAAGATGTTCTGCTGCGAATGTTCCACTGCTGTGTATGGATCGTCGTTGACTAGCAAGCTTTTTTGAATCGAGGGCAGTTCTCATATCTGGGTTCTCCTCTCTCCATATCCTAAAAATTTCAATTTCAGAGACTACATTTTTCGCTTTTGCGTAGTAAAAACACCTCATCCCCTCATTTTATTCATCCTGTGTCCATTTCTCACGATGACTTCGAGTTATAGCCAACTCTGGGACCCTGGGACTAAAGCCCGTTGTATAGGCAGATGACAAAATGACATTGGCACAGTGTCTGAGCAGGTATTGGACAGATAGTACAACCACGTTAAGATTCATTTTATTTCCTTTACTATCAATTTAACCCACTGGTTTTAACTGAACGGTTATTATTATTTCCTATTTTCTGTGGATATACACTGATGCCGGGTTTCTCAAAACCACCCAAGGCAACAGTGATTTGCACGTAAGTGGAACAAGAACAATTTTTTTGTCCTTCAAATCAGGCTTAAGAATTTACGGACTATGTTTGCTGTTCCCAATAGAGCAGCTTTCTCAATGGTCCGCAGACCCCTTCGTATAAAATACAAACGAAAGAATGGAGATGAATACACATTTCAATTAGTCCCATTCCTTCATTTGCTTTCATGTAAACCGCATTGCAATAACTTCAACCGTCCAAAAACTGCAGGAGGAGCTTTAGTTACGCAACTAACCTTACAAGGAACGAATACACTTAATTATTTTAGAGCAAAATATGGTGTTTTAAGATTTATCTTCAAAGCTCTGACATACAACTAAATATATTTATACTTAGTTTAATGGGAAAGCATATGTTATGGGATAGAGCATACAGTGGGATACGGTAAAACAAGACAAGCTTGGAAAACTATAGGAAGAATAAGAGCGCCGAATGTGAATAAAGTTTGAATATGATAACATTACTGGAATGGAAGAAGCATTTTTCTGAGATGCTGACGGAAAATAGATTTCAGTGGAAACAACTGGGAACGACTACTAGAAATATAAAGCGAGGCATGAAAGAGGTAGAACCTATAATTGAGAAAGAAGTATGGGAAGCCCTAAAATATTCGCAAAATAGTAAAGCGGCGGGACCAAGAGAAATTCCCATGGATTTATGGAAGTATAGTGGACAGAAGATGATTAGAGTATTGACCAAACTGTTCAATCAGCTATTATTTATGGACGATTTACCAACTGAATGGAATCTGTCATATATTTCGGCTATTCACAAGAAGGGAAGTAAGAAAGATATGAACAATTATCGGGGTATAAGTGTAATGGCATCAGTTGGAAGACTCTTGAGCAAAATAGTGAAGAATAGATTGGAGGCTAAGGTGTCCATGAAAATCTCAGAACAAGCTGGTTTTACAGAAGGGAAGTCCTGTATAGATAACATTTTTACATTACAACAAATGTGTGAGAAAATGAGTTGGAAGGGAAGAGAGCTTCATCTGGTTTTTATTGACCTGGAGAAAGCACATGACTGTGCCTATATATGAATTGTGGAGCATACTACGAAATTTTAAAATTGAAGAATCGCTCTTTCAACTCAAAGAAAATGTATGTGGATACCAGAGCCGTGATAAAAATTGGAAATAGAATTTCTGAGGAATTTAAAACTATTAAAAGTTTAAGGCAGGGATGTGGAATGTCTCCAATTCTTTTTAAAATTTATTTAGAAGAGGTCTTAACGGTACGCCTGAAATAGAAATTATGTGCAGTAGAAATGGATAGATGAAGGAGGAGCTGCCGAATTTCTAGAAAGGAAAAAATTAGAAACATAGAAATTCGGAAATGGATGCAGCAAGCAGAATCGGTGGCTGGTTAGAAAGTAAAATGCTACAATGGTATGGCCACCTGAGAAGAATGTCAGATACAAGGTGGCCCAAGAATGTCCTCGACTGGTCTCCTCCAGGAAGAAAAAAACAAGGAAGGCCTCGCAAAACCTAGAATACCGGAGTAATGGAAGCCATGCGTGAAAGAAGAATGGACGGAGACCTTTGGTCGGATAGAGAAGGCTGGAACCGCAAAATAAGAGGCAACTGCTGACAAGTGGAGGCGCCGATAAAAGTTAAAAGAAAGAAGTTTAGTGGCAATGAACGGCCACAATTAGGCCACAATTACTTCTCTCCCCCCCTCAAATTCTATAGGTAGGTTTCAATTTTATTTATTGAGTTATTGCATTTTATACCTGTGTGTGGGGAAGAAAATATATTCTATACATTCATATACACTATTTTATATCCCTTTATCTCTCTTCTGAGTAAAAACACATTCTTAAAGCATTCTCCAATTTAATGCAAGGAATGATTTCATAATTAAACTCTCATACCACTACTCAAAATATTTAGCCTCTTTATTCTTGAAACTACATCAGAACAGATTTTTTATAACAGGATTCAATACCCTATGTTCCAGGTTCTGTCAACAAGTGGTTTGTTGATAGTTGTGACACTTAAAACCATGTGATATCTAATTGTGCTTCAAGTATCCTAGTGACCGTCAATGTAACTACATCAAGCTTTCATTTTGCTTCTGTATCCTTATCTTTGCACTGGTGTCCTTTTACATAGAGGTCAACGAATGCTAGTAAAACAACTGTGCAGAATCAATTTTAAAATTTGAAATTGTCCCAATTAAAAATATATCTAAACGGAAGTTACTGGAGGAAAAGGAGTTCAAATACAAAGTAGACTTGGTAAGTTCAAATCAATTGTATTTATGCCACCCAAAATGCATTTGAGTCAGCAAGTATGTAGAGATGTTTCCAAAGTTCTAGGAATAATTTTCTACCACACAGCACACTAGGTTTTAGAAAAAGGTCATTCACTTCTGATGTTAAAATTCTTCAATTGTAGACATCACACGATTGAAATGATCCAATGTTAACCAATGGATCAAAATACAATCAAAAGGCTTTAGAAGATGGATAGCAGAAATTAGTTTTATATTGGATAGGTGCATGAAATTAAAGCAAGATTGTGAAAAATGAAAGTGTAACATTGAAGATTAGTAATATAGTTTCAAAAATATGAGCTTAATCCCTGAACTTTGGAGAAATCCCTATTAAGATACAAGTGTTTGTTGTTAATACAAGTGTCCTATATTATTTCCTGTTAGTCTTAAAACACTGTCAGAAAAAGGCACTTGCACTCATTAAATATTAATGACCCTAGATAACTTCTGCACTCTGTTCAGCAATAAGTCCCCTTGTTTGATCGTGGCTTGATACTGCCAATTCTTCGAATCTGGGCGATTCGTTTCCACAACTCCACCAACTTTATCAACTTTACAATGCAGACGACCAGCTGCAATAAACCTGGAGAGTTCCCTGAAAAATAAAATTATAAATTATTCAAAAGTGCAAAAACTAACAATGCCAAGAATTACACCTTAAGAATTATTTTAAAATATGGTACAGTTCAGTAATCTACTTACTGATCAATAAAATCGACAGTGACACCAAATGCATCAGCCATATATTGTAAAGTCAAACTTCGATATGATTCCAGTAACTGTGAGTATGCCATGATCCTCATTTCCCTTACGTAGTAGCGGTAATGGGGGAAAAGGAAGAAATCAAATTTCAACAGCTTTTCTACTACAGCTGAAATAGAAAGAGCAAAATACAAATTAAAAAACACTGGAACGCATAAATCAATTAGCAAGAGGTCAACGCTTCCAACATATTTCTTCAACAATGGAGGACTCCTTGGTCACGTCAAATTTCCTATGTAGTTTGTGTGTTACAATATGTTATTTCAGTTGTTTGCGCACAAGAGAATAAAGCACAACTCAAACTATTGACCAATGACACACAACTAAAATGATGTTTCCCTGTTAATAGCACACTCGGGCAGCATTGTCAATCCACAACCCAAAGAACACCAATGTGTGTGTGTGTGTGTGTGTGTGTGTGTGTGTGTGTGTGTGTGTGTGTGTGGGGAGGGG